TTTCATTGACCTATAGTCTATTCTTGGTCTGGTTGCATGCAATATAAATAAATTTTACTATCACATTCTTTTATTTTTTAGCACCATAAATGGATCATCACTTTTGGCATGTTTTTTTTGTTTTTTTTCCCAATAAGGAGACGGTTGAGCTAAAAATAGGTTATTTTTTGTTGTACCCAGGTAGAGGCCACATGAGCTAAAATTAAGTTTGTTTTGTACCCAATTAGGGGTCACCTGGGCTAAAAAGTAGGCTTTTTTTTGCCTATTGAGCTAAAAAAAAAAAATAGTGTTCTTTTGTCTTTTTTTTCCAAATTAGGGGCCAACTAAGCTTAGAAAGTGTTTTAATAATAACACCATCTTCATTAACTTGCATATCATTATTTACAGCAAATGACTTTTTCATTGCTGTTTTTAGCTCACCTGAGCACTTAAGGTACTTAGTGACAGAAAGAGGTATGTTCATCATCCACAAATTCTTTAACCAACATCTTCTCCACTTGATAGATTTTAATCTTCACTGAAATGATCCTAAGGTGGTCCTCTACAAAAATTATATAAATGGTTTTAGTCCGATGCATAAGTAGGTCAAAAGAGCTTGAAATAGACATTCAAAAATCTTCTTCTCAGAAACTGCAATGCCCAGAGCCTAGATATTTGGCAAGTAGCATCACCTTGTGGTCGTCTACAAAAGTTATATTAATCATGTCTACAGGGTCAAGATGGCCCTGCCCTAGGGGTCACTTAGTATACATAGGCTTTTATAGATAAATACATTTAAGTCTTCTGTTATGAAACTGCAATACCCAAAATTGGTCCAGCCAAGGGGAGGGGTTCACTTAAATTGTATAGGTTTGTATAGAAGACCTTCTCAGAAACTACAATGCTAGAGCTTAGACATTTTGGCATGTAGCATCACTTTGTGGTCCTCTATAAAAGTTGCTTAAATCATACTCCTTGGCCAAAAAAGGCTTTTTGTCCTGGGGGATAGTTAATTTACATGAACTTGCATAGTGTAAATTACTTTAAAATCTTCTTCTGTGAATGTACAATGCCAGGAGATTAGATATTTTACATGTTGCATCAACTTTGTACTCCTCTACAAAAGTAATTTAAATCATGCCCCTGGGGCTCAAAATGGGACTTACCTAGCAGGTCACTTAAGTCTTTTTTTGTAAAACTACAATGCATAGCGCTTAGATATTTTACATTTAACACAAAAGATACATAAATCATGCCCTTAATTGGAGTCACTTAGTTTCAATAGACTTGTATGGCAATATTGTCTGAACGTATAATGCCCAGCGCTTAGATATTTTGCATCAAGCATCACCTTGTGGTCCTCAAAAAAAGTTATATAAATCATGCCTCTGTATAAAAAATTGTTTCTTGCCCTGGGGTTACTAAGTTTATATAGACTTACATAGTAAAGCTCATTTCATTATGCAAAATTATAATGGTAAGAAGTTAGATATTTGTCATGAAACATTCAAGGCATACATCTACAAATATTTAAAAAAATTATTCAGTTGGGGTAAAATTGACAAAACGAATGTGACTTCATTACTGAAATTTAAAATTGAAAAATGAAAAACTGTGACCTTTTATAGCAATGTATCTCAGGTGAGCAATCAAGGACCACCATGGTCCTCTTGTTCAAGATTACACTGCCAATAGAGGTAAACAATATAAAATTGAAAAATATCCTAAAGTAATTTCTCAGGAAAAAGGGAAAATAGATTATGATTAGTGCTGCAGGGCTCAAATACAATAGATCAACAAACTGAAGACAAATGTAAAGTTATTTAAAACAGAATTATAGCAGCCTGGTTGTGTAAGGATTTAGACCCAAGCCATTTTGATTGATAGACCCATGTGTTAGATCACTATACCACTTTACAGAAGTTTCTAATATACCCGAAGGAAAGTGGCTATATTAAGAAAAGTGGCCTTCAAGAGCTTGTTCCTTGAAGGAGATATAAATTACATAATTTACTATTTATCTTCGGTATAACTTGATAGGAAGTAGGCAAATTGTACAATTTAATGTTTAAGCTTTAATTTAAAACCCAGCAAAAAAGCAAAAAGAAGAAAAGAAATCTTATCTAATTTATTTACATATCTGTGTGTTTTTTACAAGTTGTTGAAAACATTGTGAAAATGTCGATTTCAATGCCGTTTTCTTTTCTATAAAGCAAAGATTGCCCCCTACTTGTTTAACGTTTGAAGTTCTAATCCCACTCTATTTGTATACAGTCAAGTTAGTGAAAGTAAATAAAAAGAGACAAAATTGTATTTGTTCTCTAGGTCAGAGATCATTTTGATAAAGATTAATATAGATTGAAAATCATGTGAAAATCATTCATTCAAACTTGAGATTTGTCCTCTGCTTGAATGAACTTGCCTCACTAAAAACCTTGGTCCATTATCTTGTACATAGAGGTGAACCAGTATTATATTTTTTCATTCAATAAAAGCCATGTGATAGGTTGTTATTTATTCACTTTGAAATTATTAGGTTAATGGACTTTTTAATCTCTTTGATCTGTAATATTTTCCTCCCTTTAACAAAAATGTTTGGTGATAAATTGATATTATTATTAAAAAACAACAACAACAACAACACCTTCATTCTGGTTTGGTTGATAAATTTTAGTCCAAAATGACATGTCTTTTACCAACTATTTACCTGGCATCCTGTGAGAGTTCTTTAAAGTTTTATTGCACCATTGCACACAAAAGATCAAATAATACTATTGAATCAGCTGTCATTTTAATATGTTCTTTCATGTTTAGTAATGCAACATTGTTTGAGTTTTACTTATATTGCGGTACTGGTCAGTATTTTAACAATACCTGAAACAAAGGGTAGTGTTGTTTCTTAAACTTAAGGGGTCAATATTTGGTCCCCCAAGGGGTCAATTGCTTTATTTGTTTGTTTAAAAAAAACAGAACAACAACTTTATTCAGGACTTGCACAATAATTAAAAATTAAGACTGGACAAGTGGTGACATGTCCGGGGTCCATACTAGAAAGCTGCTTTTGGTGTCCTTACAGGCGGATGGACCCTCATTAAACATGAGCTACATACACATACATACAAAACTAGGAGAAAGGGCAATCACTATTTCATGCAGTTAACGCCATGGAGTTGATACACCTATCCAAGTACCTTACAAAATATCCAAGTACCCTGCATCTTTCCTCAAGTAAAGCAAGAAGGAGAAACTTAAGTTGGATTGGCACAACTTAAAACCTGACCAAATGAATAAAAAAGGGAAAAAATATATATTAAATCACTTAAGCCCCCATTGCTTAATAAACTGTTGTAAAAACAATTAAAAATTGTATGGGGTTTATTGTTCTAAAAGATAATGTAATATCTAATGACTATAAACTTCTACAGATAAATCTTTGCTTAGCTAAAGGCATAAAGCTTCTGGAACAGTCTTGAATTAATTGTATTCACTTAATTATTTATGCACCTGTATTTCTAATAAACTTTATTTGAGAAATTTAAAAGGGATAAAGGATTAATAATAAATGCTTCAAATCCAGAAAATGTGTAAAACTTACAGTGTGTAATTATCCAAACATCTGTAATATAAATTTCATATTTTCTGGAGAAAGCGGCTTATAAATCACACTTGGAAACAGTACAACACTATGAAAGAGTTGGTGTGGATAGAAATAGTAAGACAATGATCTTATAGAACTACATTTTATCTTAAACGATGTTTGTTGTTTCCAAATGTCAAATCATGTGTGGAAGTTGTTGATTCCTTGTAGAAGCAGTTTTACTGAAATATGTACGAGAATGAATAAAGGGTCTTATACATGAGAAATTCTGTTATATAAACATGTGATGGGTGTAATGTCAGATAAGTTTGCTATAAACTTGCCATACATATGCATAAAGTCTTAGTCACTAAAATACTGAAAATTTCCTCTGTAAAACAAAAATATATCAAAGGGAAGTACTGGAGCTGAAAGGAGAAAATATGTCATATTTTGTGACTTTTAATAAATCATATATTGTTGAGCCAGCTTTAATCTGCAGGGATAGGCAAGTGGCTTGGAGGATGGGGGAGAGTGTTATGCTACAACACTAGCTTTCCCTTAGGTACTGCATTATATAATTCATTCATGATACATTCCCCATTCTCTTTGACACTTCTCCTATTCCAGACATCCATCTTTCCAGAGATACACCCATTCACATACCCATCCTCTTTGACAGGATCTTCATCCATCAACATCATCCATTTGTCCACACACCTATTAGGTTTTAATAATTATGTTCGAAGAAAATAGGATTAAAATCCTTCTAAGATCTTAGGACTCTGTCCTCAGACACCTTCACTATCCCTCAGACTTTCCATTTTAATAACACCCATCCCATCCCCTCTGATCAACTCCCCACCCCCTCTGACCTTGCCACATCCATCCCTTTTTTTATCCATACAGCTTTTACCTGTAATTTTAACTCATAATGATTGAAGAAAGTTGGATTAGATTACACATAATTATGTAAGTTATATCCAAAATCTTTAGTGGAGGAGGAATTTGTAATGGAATTTTTATTTAATCATGCAACAGAAATGTATTGATACAGGATGTAGTTTTATATAAACTTACTGTCAAATATTTGAAATGCACAGAATCTTTTTCTCCGCAGATTACCATTTGAAATCATCAGGAGAGAAGTTCCTTTTTGTCCACCATATTTTTTTTCTAGTTCTTTGTCTAGACAGTTCTCTAGTTGCAGCAAGTTTTGCTATTTCATTGTTTATTTCTATGTCTTCATTTCTAGTGTTGAACTAATTTTGTTTTAACTTGATTTTGTTGGATCTAATCACTTTTCAGTTTCTATTCTAGGTGAATTTGTGTCTGATGTTGAGTTGAAATTATGACATCAGCAGGGTCTTCAACTTGTGACCTTTCAATTGCTAAGACTACATTTTTTACATTCTGCAACAATATGTACTCTTTATTTAAGTAGGATGTCTGCATGGAGAATGGGCTGATGGGAGGAAGTGGTGTGTTCAAGACAAGACATACATGTAAACAGTCATACCTGGAAAGTCCTCTCCTTGGCGTTGATGACTGATTGGTACAAAATACAGATTACCTACATTTAAAAAGAAAACAGGTTATCTACCTTTCATTATTGTCGGAAAAAAAAAAATTTTGTTATTTTTGTTGCCAATTAAAATTACTGGAGTTTGTAAGTTTGTTTTGTTACGTAGAATTGATGCTGGTTCCCTTACTGAACTCCCTCCATTCTAATGTCCCGATTCATCCTAACGTCCCTCCAGCGTACTTACTGTTTCTCAAACCTAAATTATTTGACTACTTGTATATAAAGTATGTTGTTACCTGGTTTGGTCTATTATGACTTAAATTATGAACAGTATTAACTAATAATTAAGTTGATATTATACCATTATCATGTAAGTGTGTCTTAAGGCCATGATCAAAAAAATGGTTGTGTCAAACAGGTTTAACTATATTATCAAGTTCTAAAGGCAACAGATTTTTCATAAAACACAATAGCAAAATATTGTTGGATATTTCCTAACCATATAACATACCAAAAAGTAATTATCTTTCGATTTTTATAATTAATGACTCTAGATTTTTAATTTTAGCTTTAATCTGATTCAAAAGTGTCTCTTCTGTTACAAAAGATTATTAAAATTACGTCTGTGCTATTTTATCTATTTACTCCCATAAAAGGACAATTCAATGTATGTATCATTTATACACATACCTTATCTCTGACACTTTTGTATTGATCAAAAAGTAAGTTTCTTTACTTGAATATTAAACACAAAGTCATTCCTGTGGTTTTCATTATTAACTTTCAGTCTTTGATAAATGAAGCTTGTAATTTTGTTTTTATATTTGAAACTGAATATTTGGGAGATGATATAAGATATAAATGACAGTTTTCAGTTATGTCTACCAAATATATATTAATCAAAGGGTATTAACTTCCATACATGTGACAAATGAAATGGGCCAAATCTGGATTTTCAGCTGGATTTTGAGGCTCAAAACTGGATTTTTTTATCGACTCGAATTTCAGTGCGTGTTTGGCACATTTGGTTCAAAGAATCTATATTACCCTCAAAATCATTAAATGATTATACTTTTTATGATTTTTTTTTGTTGATCAATATTAATTTATTTCACCAAAAAAATAAATAAATAGATAAATAAATAAGTGTAGTCATACTGGCTATTTCTAAAACATGTAGTCACACTTTCACATTTCATTATTTTCAGTTTGAAGAATTATAATGTCTTTTCAGTCATTCAATAATTAAACACAAGCTATTTGAAAACGTGCAACAACTATTCATAAACATAAGACTATGACAGTTAAATAACGTAACATTAAGTAAACGACTCAAAATAAATGCAAGAATCGTTCTGTTATTAAATCCACATTTTTGCCTCGATGATTGCGTAATTTCTAAACAAAACAAAAAATTACCCACTCACTAAAAATAGGTTAATTAGACATCTCAAACAGGTTTTGAATGATCCACTTTAAATGATTCTGCTCCCCTTCAGTGCGGCACTTATCAAAGAAAATCAAAGGTTCAGCCGAATTCATACATGTAAATTTACAGGGTAGTTTTGATGACGTAGCGTGTAATACCTACTGCCAAATTACAAAAGAGGTCAATTGATTGACACACAACACGTGATAAGTTAAACATGTGAGAATAACTTTGGGTATTGGAACTGTTTATTACGTCACCTTGCTGTCAATTAGCGACTCAACATTTAATCCGCTATAATTTAGGATATGGACAGATAACAATCAATGCCCGGAGGCACGGTTTACATTTTAGATACAGGTGCTGTGTTTGATTTTTTTATGTTGATTTTTTTTTTAAATATCGGGAATTCAAGCTGTAATATCGGGAATCGGGATCAGTGTTGAAATATCGGGATTTTTTTAAATCCCGCCGGGATGTCACATGTATGAACTTCACTGAAACGTGGATAATACCACAGCAAATTTGTCAAAAATTGAATTATCTCCCTTTGACCAGTCATCGTTATAGTAAATTTGAGTTGCTTCCCTTGTACTGTAAACATCAAAAACAGAATGATTGACAGCTGAACTATATTTTCAGTATAGAATTACTGGTAGTTTTCTGAGAGAATGCTCTTTCAGGTACTATTTAGTAAAACAGTTTTTATTGAAACAGCCTTTTGTTGTTGTTGTTTTTTTTTGACAGGGACACTTTTTTTCTTTTTGATAAACAGATAAATAATAAATTTCAACAAGATTTAAAACTGCAATTATCTTGTCATTTAAAGTAAAAGTAGTAAATCTATAATACTGTGGAGATACAGATAAAATCTTAACAGTCTATACAAATGCAAATGAACTGAAATTGATAACCATTGTACATTGCTTATTTTGAATTGCAAACCGTTCTAATGCGTTGCAAATTATAACCTATATTTTAATAGATTTCAAATACCTCGCGTACGAATTACACTTACCCATATTCAAGAAATCTACCTGGATCATGAAATTATCTATTTGATAAGTACGAGATGAAATAACTGTAACTTAAAATACCAATTTTCATCGGCTGGCTGATTTTCTTTCGCGTAATTTGACGATCATTTACATAGCTTTTGTACTTTTTTATGCAAAGATGTTAAGTATAACACTTTAATATCGATGCCTTATTAAACATTATAGTGAACATTCACAGTTGACAGTTAACTCATTTTAACTCAAATTATATCGCATTAGTAAATTGTGCCGCTTACCATGAACAACAACTACAGATTGATTTATCGGACTCGGTCTCTCTCACACAGGTGGGGAAAAGAACATTGACTTTAAATCTGTTTACAGGTTTTTCCATTGTAATTGACGATGATATTTTTTGTGTAAATTGAATATTGGGTGAATCAAACACAAAGAAAATATGCCACCCGGCCATTTTCGACTTGCTACCTGAGCAAACAAAGAAACTGAAGCTATAACGATCCTGCTGAATCACGAAAGGTGGCTGATCTCGATACTCGCGTGAAATAAAACACGGCTCTTGTTCGGCAATTACATCTGTAGGGTTTTAACTGCAAATTTGAGACGTTTGAAACGTTCTCTGTCAATATTGTTCGTGCAGATATAAATACAACAATTTGTAAAGTTTACCGCCACTGAGAAAAATTAGATACATGATGATAGAAAACAACTCTCAATGTGTCAATATTTGTGATGATGATGTGGTTTTACTGCCTATTGCTCTTTTCATAGATTGTGTTGATACAATATTTAATAATCCAGCAAATTGAAAATAGTGCTTACAACTTACTTGTACAGATGGCAAGGATTCTGGCATTAATTTCTAAACTTATTTAGTATTTTTCTATATAGATATAATGCATTCTTTAACAATGAAGTGATTTTTAAAATCTGCCTGTTCTTGGCAAAAAAATTGCATTTCATTTCAAAAGAAATGACAAGTTTTAATGACAATAAAAATTGTGAGATTTAAATTACTGAAAATTATTTCAACATTTTATTATTAAACACTTTCTTTGTACAAACAAACAAAATATGCAGTGTTCACTTGAGAATCATTTTAAGTGCTTGGTATGGGCATTTGACACATAATAATGTTTAGAAATTAAGTTCAGAATTTAAGTATTATTGATAAATCTTTCTTTGATTTGTTCACTACATTATATTTTAAAGCAGCAGTGTCATCTCAAAACTTTTTTTTCGTTTAACTGTTTAACACTCAACCTGCTGACTTTGTATAATGGAAGCTTTCAAGTTTAAATAATCTGTCCTAAATTTAGGGGATTTTAATATTAAAGGGACTCCACTGAGGTTTTTTGACATGACAGTACTAGAAATAAATTCCTCCCCCCATTTAGATTGACCTTTGTCCGTCCATCCGTTCTCTTTTGTGTTGCACATAACTCAAAAAGTATTTGACCTAGAGTCATGAAACTTATAAGGAATGTAGATCAGCATGTGCAGTTGTGCACCTGTGTATTTTCATGAGGATTTATTCAGTATTTTTAGAGTTATTGCCCTTGACTTAGTAAAAATTTGCAATTTTCAACTTGTGTTGCATGTAACTCAAAAAGGATTTGACCTAGAGTCATGAAACTTTACAGGAATGTTGATTAGCATGTGAAGTTGTGCGCCTGGGTATTTTTGTGTGGATATATTTAAATTTCTTAGAGAAATTGCCCTTGACTTAGTAATATTTTGCAATTTTCAACTTGTGTCGCATGTAACTCAAAAAGGATTTGACATAGAGTCATGAAACTTTACAGGAATGTTGATCAGCATGTGTAGTTGTGCACCTGGGTATTTTTGTGTAGATTTATTTAGTATTTTTAGAGTTATTGCCCTTGACTTAGAAAATTTTTGCAATTTTCAACTTGTGTCCCATGTAACTCAAAATGGATTTGACATAAAGTCATGAAACCTAACGGGAATGTTGCTCAGCATATATAGTTGTGCACCTTGGGTTTCGCTTGTGGATTTATCCAGTATTTGTAGAGTTATTGCCCTTGACTTAGTAAAAACTGTTTCATTATATTGTGTTATTTGTTCATTGAGTGCTTGAGTTAGAATCAACCAAGTTTACAGGAATAATGATCAACATCACTAAATTACAGGAATAATGATCAACATCACTGTGAAGCTATGCACCTGGGACTTTGCATGTGATTTTTTTTTCAGTTTTGTTAGAGTTATTGCCCTTGACTTACAGTAGTATAAATTTGCAATTTTCAACTTGTTCATGCATAGCTCATAAAGTATTTGACTTGTAGGCCTGAAAGTTTACAAGAATGTTGGTCAGCATGTGTACTTATGCACCTTGGGGTTTCCTTGTGGATTTATTCAGTATTTGTAAAGTTCTTGCCCTTTACTAAGTAAAAGATTTTTAGTTTTCAACTTGTAGCACATGTAGTCCAAAAAATATTTGACCTAGAGTCATAAGATTGACAGAATTGTGGCATGTGGGGGCACCCGTGTCCTATGGACACAATTCTAGTTTGTTTTTTTTCTTAGAATATTCATTTTTATGGACAAAATGACCCCATAATGAAAAGTGTTGCAATGTATTTCTAGAACTCACAAATTGG